CGTTAAGTAAGAGATTGCTGGACGTATGCAATATGTACAAGGACAAAAAAAGTAATCCAACAAATTTCAGCAAAAGTTTTAATGTGATTCTTGGCAACACAGATTCTCTTCAAGCAAACAAATTATATCAGTGTTAAGTATAATACATAAATGCATAATGTCTTGATAATAAATGTGTTGCAGTGACCAATCACATATATATATATATATATATATATATATATATATATATATATATATATATATATATATATATATATATATATATATATATATATATATATATATATATATATATATATATATATATATATATATATATATATATATATATATATATATATATATATATATATATATATATATATATATATATATATATATATATATATATATATATATATACAAAGCTATACATCTCAGACTAGTATTCATACACATCTTATTCTAAAAAGCAGACTGATAGAGATCACCAAAAAGCAACTGGAGGTACCATAGTAAATGGTTGTCTGAGCATGGTAACCAAGTCTACTATTATCATCATCTTAACGTAAATGTTCAACTTGCTCTCCGCCTCCACTTGTGTGCAGGAGGTTGAGCACCTCATAAATTATGCTAAAATCTTGTCAAGTCTTTGCATTTGTTTTTATAATAAAATTGAGATTTATTAATTATTTGACATGATTGTGCTGGACTATTACTGGGTACAGTACAGTACAGTACAGTACAGTATATATCTAAAATACAAGAGAAAAGGAATATTCATGTCCTTACAAGTTAAGTTAAATATTATAAATGAAAATAAAGAATTTTCTGTATATAAAACAATCACATGAATGACAAAGTTACTGTACTCATGAGAACATTTTACAATAATATACAGGTTTGACCCTGCTAATCCAGGACCCAATAGTCAGGCAGCTTCATTGGTTCGGGACGGTGTTTGAATCTTGCTGTCGTTTGTTTCAAGGTATCAGTAGGCCTATAATATACAATTTTCTCTTTATTTTTTCTGCTAATCTGGTTATTTCTGTGTCACAGTACAGTAAACGTGTACCATAGCGCTAACACTGTCATAAAGAGGTCCAGTAAGCCTGAGCTAGATTTTTGCTGATGTAAGCTGTATTGGTACTGTATCAGTAGTAGTATATTTTATGCATTAATTCGCCTTTTTTACCCTCGGCTTCGATCGTTCGTAATTTTCACTAATCCGGAACCGGTCTGATCCCAAGCTTCCCGGATTAGCGAGGTCCAACCTGTATTAAGTTATGTATACATTGGTTTCAAGTGACAAAAAATATATTTTATAGGTTCAGCAGTGATGTGGTGTTGATCACTGCATTACTGGCAGTTTAAGTTTCTTCTTGATATGAAGATAAAGGCTAACTGTATTATGTTCAAAGTAAACTTTCTCTTATATGCCAAAACTGAAGGTGTGTCAACAGGACCACAATGCCAAACACCCTTTAACATCATAACTGGGAAAATATTCCAACGGCGACTTATGCATAGAATGGCACGCTAAAACAAAGCTATACCTGTAATTGCTGACATAAGAATGAAGTATTAATATGTCTAAATATGTCTTGCGGCATTAATATGTCTTGTTCCTCTCATCTCCTCCAGCTACAAACTTGCTATAATTTTAGCACCACAGCCATTGTGAGGACACTTGAAGGTGTTGTGCTGGCAGTCTGCTACACCCACAAACAGTACATATTGATCACCTGTTTTACCAGGAACAGCTCAAACATGTGTCATTATAATGCATGTATTTATCACTGGATAATTAACTGTACAGGTTCAATGTGTAAAATCTAGTTAGAAGGAAAGAGAAGATGTGAAAATTTTTCACCACTATGTGATTTCATGTGATAAACAAAACCTGCATCAACTCCACCCATGTGATAAGTTGCGACCATCTGCATATTAAACCCAAAGCTATAAAAAAGACGGAAATGAAACACAACAGCTGCAGTGGAATCTATAAGAATCTATACAACAGCTGACTGACTATAACATCTTAACCTGTTTCCCACAAACTTGTCTTCACATTAATCACTGCTAAGTTTTCTGTTATAATGTAAAAATTGCAAAAAAACAAACAAATCATAATTCCTGTAAAAATGTGTTCAAGAGAACCAACAACAACAATCTTTCATCTACATGTTGGTGGTGAGTGAGAGAACTTCAGGGTTTTATCTACATGTTGGTGGTGAGTGAGAGAACTTCAGGGTTTTATCTACATGTTGGTGGTGAGTGAGAGAACTTCAGGGTTTTATCTACATGTTGGTGGTGAGTGAAAGAACTTCAGTGTTTCATCAACATGTTGGTGGTGAGTGAGAGAACTTCAGGGTTTTATCTACATGTTGGTGGCGAGTGAGAGAACTTCAGTGTTTCATCAACATGTTGGTGGTGAGTGAGAGAACTTCAGTGTTTCATCAACATGTTGGTGGTGAGTGAGAGAAGGTCAATACTTTATCTCTGGTGCTGTAACAACAGACCAAACCAAACATTACCAAAACCCAAAGTATAGAAGAACAATTAAACAAAATTATGTTTACTGTAAATATATTCTTATATACTGTACCTGACAATCCTCACAATAATAAAATCTCTCGAAGGGGTATAAAGATCTTTGTCTTTATGTGATATTCTCAGAGTTATATTACTGTCTAGGACACTTCCCCTGTATATTACTGTCTAGGACACTTCCCCTGTATATTACTGTCTAGGACACTTCCCCTGTATATTACTGTCTAGGACACTTCCCCTGTATATTACTGTCTAGGACACTTCCCCTGTATATTACTGTCTAGGACACTTCCCCTGTATGTGCTGTTCTCACCCCTGTTGTAACATCTGATGAACACATAATGAGTGACTTTGCAGTACACCAAAGATTATTGTCTTATTGTGCAAGAACAGGAAGTGAGGTGAGGTTATGTTTGATCTGAGCCCTGAGGTGAGATGAGACGAGGTGAACTTATGTTTGGTGTGAGCCCTGAGGTGAGATGAGACGAGGTGGACTTATGTTTGGTGTGAGTCCAGAGGTGAGGTGAGATGAGGTGAGGTTCTGTTTGGTATGAGTCCAGAGGTGAGGTGTGAGTCAAGGGTTAAGTTAAGTTCATGGGGTTTTACACATTAAACCTGAACAATACCATTTATGGGTTAATGATAACTGCTCTCTAACATTACATAGGCTTACTAACTTAAGGTAAGATACAAAAATAAGAGCTACTGTATTGTATTAAATGGAATGCTTAATACACTTCTTATGCAAATAAAGAGGAAGTTAAAAGATACAGTAACCATTCAACCTTTTGTAGAACATGATGGTCACTCAAGTGTTGAGTTTTACAATAGTATAATAAATTCTTCAAACATTAAATTTTCTTCCCTCCTGCATACAACTTGACCTCTCAACACTCTTACTTCTCATTTAGTAAGTGTCAGGTTTACAATACATATGACAGTATCTCACAGCTTTGTCGATTATCTTTGGTCAAGTTGCCTTACTGTTTATCACTGTTGTACACCTGCACAGTAACAGAGGTGATGGCTGGTTGCTTCTCTAACACAAAGGTGCAGTAACCATGTGACAGAACCTCACGCAGACATAAGTGATACATTAACTTATTTATTTTCTGGGGGATGGTAAATTATAGTAAACAATGAAGAGCTATTACCGAGATACTGAATTCTTTTAATTTTGGGAATTAATTACTGATAAGTGTAAAGTAAAATGAAGGGTTACTGTATTTCAATAAATCTTATAACTGCATTCCATAGTTAAATTTTTTCATTATAATATACTTAGTTAAGACTCTTAGGCAACTAAAGACATGACATAATTATTCTTTAGTATATATATATATATATATATATATATATATATATATATATATATATATATATATATATATATATATATATATATATATATATATATATATATATATATATATATATATATATATATATATATATAGTAGCTATAGTCCATTGCCAATATGAATTACACAAACAAATATAGTACTGTAATTTGGTTACATATGGTGATGCAGGAGAATAACTTCACTGGAGGTACTTGTACACCTTGAAGCAATGGTTCCCTGAGTCTGCCACAAAGATCTGGCCATCAGGTGTAAGAGTCAGACCCTGAGGACCATACAAGGGGTCAGCCAGGGTGTTGACGTATGACAGAAAGGAACCTTGAGCGTCAAACACCTGAAATTTGAAGAAAAATATATACCCAGTATGTGAATGTTCCTGTAGACTTAATGTTAATACAGTAATTCCTCTATTTGTGTATTGAATAAATTCCTTTTAAACACAGTGTTGAGTCTAATGAAATAAATAATTTTTCAGGATAAAAATACAAAAAGGAGATACAATATTATAGCCGACGAGCTGCATGACCCAGTGTCAAGGAATAGTCCGAGAAGACCGGACAACTCGCCAACTGCACTGGCTAACCATTACCCCGGAACACGATCCACAAATCGATTAACATCCAGGTTCCCAATTACTGCTGGGTAGACAGAGGAAAATGGCATAAAGAAACTTGCCCATAGTTTCACTCTGCCCGGGGATCGAACCCGGGTCCACTCGCTTGTGAGGTGAGCATGCTGACCATTACACCACAGGTCACCATGTACATACATACATACATACATACATACATACTACTGTACATATATACAAACATACACACATCTCGTGACGTTGTGTAGCATGAAGACAAGCCGTGCTGGGCTCTACAAGAGCGAGGAATTTAAAGATGCACACAGTGATCTCATATGACCATGGTGAAGAGGCTACTCTTATCAGTGCCGCATTATATTGGATATTGAAGGAAAATATCATCAAGATTAGTTTGAGTAAAACATCCAACGGTTGAAGTATCCATTGCCTTAGGCCGCCAGTCAAGGATAATAAGAGTGGAAAGAAGAACAATTAACCAGAGACATCCATGAGTGGTGACCATAAGCTACCCACCAGGTGACCATGATCTGCCCACCATACACACACCGGGTAATACAGTGAAGGAACACCAAAACCGACACACAGTAGTATATAAAAGAAACATGGAGCAGTGAATGAGAGTAATAAGTGACCTGGAAGCTACAGTATCACAGGTCACCACAGTGCCACTAGGTCATCAAGGTGTGTAGTGTTACAATAACCCTCAGTGATAATTGTATAGTGGAACATTACCAGTTAGTGAATAGTGCTTATATCTTATTTTTTCCATGAACAAAATTTGTGAACTTGAAATAATCATTGAAAAGCAAGTGAAGAAACTGACACCATAAACTGACTATAGGGAGGCAGCACCTCACCCCAGGACCTCACAACACTCCCAGCTGTATACCCCGCTACCTCTACCACTACTGGTAAGTCACTATATTTACGGCTAAAAACGTGTCTAACCAGAAGCTGTACAAGAATCGTAACTCAGGGAAGACATTGAGAAGTATAATCTGTCAGTAGAGCAGCTTAGAAAATCGACACCCCCCCCCCCCCATTGCATTGTTAAGTGTCAGTCAACATTGCTACATTTAGTAAGTAATTGCACATCCATACAAATTAAATAGATAAATATAAAATAAATAAATAACTGGAAGCACCTGTGATTCCTGCAATTAATCCTCAGGCAACCAAGCTGGGGTCCTTACATGACATAATTGCAAGACATATTACCACAAAAGATGCTTAGGAATAACTGGGGAGGTAATTAAAGCTTACTGTACACAATGATAAGTATAACTCCTACCTGCATTCTTGAGTTGCCCCAGTCAGCCACTATAATGTTATCATTGGCATCAACAGCAATACCAGTAGGAGCATTGAACTGTCCATTCCCTTCTCCACTTGTGCCAAAGGTGAACAAGAAGTCCCCATCACTGTCAAACACCTGAAAAAAAGTCACTCATGATACTTGAATATTTCTTAAACAATAGAATACAACTAGACCATTTCTTAAAGAATTTTATACAAACAATTATCTGTTTAGTGGCATCAAGTGATATAGGAATGCAGATAATAAAGTACTTGTCACCAACTGCTGCTCTGACACTACCAAAGATCTGAGTATAATACAGAAGTCATCATCTATGTGCTAAGATGTCATGTATACATAACAAATAACCTGTCTGACATTTTTTATAAAAAAATTAATTTTATGAACATATAATCCCTTTAACTCCTCACCATGGCAACACCACTTGTAGTATTATTTTCAGCAGAGAGAGGCCCCGTACACAAGGGTATAATAGTCCTTAATGTATTTACCATATTATCTCTCTTGTACGTTGGGGGTACAGTTCTGCTTGGCCCAGACACACCCAAGAAGGGTGTTAGCATAAAACTTAAATCATCAACATATGAAGGTAGAGAACTTTCATGCATTAACTTTTCAAGGCCCTCAAAAGTGCTTCCAATGGCTTCTTAAAAGTATTTCATGTTAATCTAAATCTAACGTATACAAGCAACATCTATGCAGCGTCACTCACCTTAACACAGTGATTGTGGAAGTCTGTGATGACAATGTCCCCTTTGCTGTTGACTGCTGCAAAGTGAGGACCAGCAAACTGAAACTCATCAGTTCCTCTGTTACCAAACTTGGTAAGAAGTTTCCCAGACTGTTGGAAAATACACACACAAGACGCCTTGTTGTCTACAACTATGATGTGACCATTGTGGTCGACACAAACTCCTTTGGGACCTGAAGAAAAAATTAATACACACAATTTAAATGTTTCTTCACTATACTGTACATTAATATATACCATAGCTTGGTCTTCTGTAGTCAATGTTAATAACAAAATCTTTTATTATGTTATTCAGTCAGCCAAAACAACTTATTGGAGCACTAAAAAAGGTTTGTCACTAATGCCAGCACTGTGGCCAATCCTCATTTATGATACTATTGACCAATAGCACAATAAAGGAATAAAAGTATCAATTTCTATCTATTATTTATATTATGATATACAAGAAAATATAAAGATATTTACTGAACATTTATTTAAATTTACTCAAGAGTAAGAACAGATGGTAGAACAGTAGAGGCTCACCTAACAGCTTGCCATGACCAATACGGCTGACGTACTTCCCAGATGGTTCAAAGATAGACACCCACTTGTTCTCATAATCTGCCACAACATAGTTACCATTAGGCAGTGCAGAAACACCAGTTGGCCGCTGCATCTGGCCGACGCCACGACCACGTACCCCAAACCTTCCGAAAAAGAAAACATATCACTGCTTAATTACCTTATATCTTTATAGACAACTGAGGAAGAAAGATCAAAGGTTACCAGAAAGTTCACTAACCTACTGTGATCTAACCTAACCTACTGTGACCTAAGCTAACCTACTGTGACCTAACCTATCCTACAGTGACCTAACCTAACCTGAAAGATTAAAGTAAAGGGTTCAAGAAATACCTTGAACTCACCCCAGATAATGTGACCTACAATGTCCACTTGTGACCCTCAAGATAAATTTCAATTCAATTCATGAAAAACTTTAATTAACTTTTGAAATCATTAATGCAAATATGAAATAGTACAAGAATAATGAGGGATTAATGTATAACCATGTATGGGATACAAATAATGAGCTTATGGTAGTAAAATCTGCTAAACGTAAAAGGTATACGTATAGCTACTGTATGAGTAATGAGGACCCTGTGGTGGTGGGCAGCAGAGGAAAGGCCGCTACTTGGAGTTGCATGTAACAACCAATCACAGGCTTGGAAGGTAACTCTGGCATGACATTCAACTGTTTATGACCGACACTTTTTCAAGCGATCAAACAACAACGACATTTTGACTGAATGATTGGAGTGTAAATCGTCGTGTCATGTGATAATCAACCTTATGATGATAGCACTATGTGATGGTCCAGTGTATCTTTACAGAAGAGTCCAATGAATTTCAAAATGAACACTGGTTGGGTCGTCAAAATCCTACGTCCGATGCGTCATATCGTCTCACAAAACATTAAGATACTTCTAGGAGAGTTGATGATAACCTTACCTTAGCTTACATTCCCCCGTGATGGTAAACACCTGCACACACTGGTTGTTTGAGTCAGCTACAGCAATCCGACCATCTTTGAAATGGCTGAATGCAATACCCTGCCAAGAGGTAGTGGGGTTTACATATAGAAGTGAATATAAATGTCCTTGATAAAAATAATTTAGTTATATTATCAGAGTCATTGAAATCAGTACCTTAGGAGTCAGTAAAGTGGAAGTAATTAATAATTTCTAGAAAAAGATGCAGTGTGTGTGTGTGTGCAGAGCGACTCAATGGGTAGTATTTACAAATGAAGGACACAGTACAGTACAGTAGTGTATTTACAGGGTAGAGACGTACTGTACTGTATAGAGGACAACAGACTGAGTAAGGAGAAGAGGAAGAGGTGATGAAGAAATATGAAACAAGACAAAAGAATTTAGAGAAGGAATATTAACAGAGAGGAGTTCAGTACTGGGAGTTATATAAAGATCAGTAAGAGGCCAGACAGCTATGTGTTGGTAGTCATTTACTGGAGAGACACACCATTAGAAAGGCAAACAATAAATACTGTAATAATTCTTAACAGGATAAAATTAATTTATTCCAGGTGAATTTTACTCTACCTGAGGATTGACAAATTCGCCTCTGTTGCGTCCTCTCCGTCCGACTCTGAGGAGCATGTCATCTTCAATTGGGTTGGTGCGACGAGAGCATGATGAACGGTGTGACATTGGCCTACGTGACGTTCGTGATGTTCTTGAGGTAACCTGTAAATTATAGTGGTAAGCCTAAATGGTAATGTTATACAGGATGTTGCCAAGACTGGGAACAGTGTACTTAGCAAATGCTGCAGCTTCTGAGAATGGGGAGGGGGGGGGAGGCGGTGGGGTTACTACTAAGAGCAGAGAAGTTACCGAGAACTAATTCTGGCTTGAATGTCATGTACACTAATACTGACACGTTCCTTGATAAGAAAGAGGAGTTTGAAACACTACTGAAGGTACACCAACCAGATATTGTGGAGTTGTCGAACTGTTGTACAAGAACAGGAGAATCGACCCAGAGGAATGCGAGTTCAGTATTGCTGGATATGACTCATTTACGAACCTTTCTCAAGAAACTTGCAAGAGGGGTGTGGTTATCTATGGAAGGCAAGACCTTAGAGACAGCCAGGCGAGGGTACAGGGAGAGGATGTTTTTGAAGAGTCCAAGTGGTGTAAAATAAAATCAAAGGGAGGGGACTTACTTATCGTAGGGTGTATCTACAGATCCTCAAACCAAAGGGACTTAAGAGACTTGACAGACAACACAGAGATGCTCAACCCTAGCCACCTCCTTATCATGGGGGACTTTAACTATGGCGACATCAACTGGAGAAATGAGTTTACCCCAAACGACTTGAATAACCCTGCTACTCTTTTTGTAGAAACTCTAAGAGATAATTTTCTGTTCCAACATGTTTTAGACCAGACACATTACAGAGGGGAGCAAACACCCAAGCCACTAGACCTCATCATAACAAATGAGGAGGGTATGGTGGACAAACTGGAACACCTTGCCCCAGTTGGCACCAGTCAAAATATAGTGTTGTCGTTCAGATTTAACTGTTCCCTAGTTCAAGATAAGGCCAGGCCAAGGTGCAAATATTACAAGGGAAATTACGACGGGATGAGGGAAGAGATGAGGGGTATCCACTGGCCTGACTCATTAAGGCACAAGAACGCAGACACTACGCTGAATATCATAACTAGTAAAGTGACCCATTTGATCGATAAATATATAACAAAGACCAAACCCAGTGCCTCTAGGAATACGAGGGGATCCCTACACATGAACCATGCGGCGGTCGACAAAATTAAGAAGAAAACCCAGAAATTCAAGACGTGGGTTGGGTCAAACGATGAGCAAGACAGGAGGATGTATGCAAGAGCCAGAAACCAAAAGCAAAGGCAGAGTGTAGGAGGGCTGAAAAGGAGTTCCAGAGGCTGGTTGCAAGCGAGGTCAAGTCAAACCCAAAGTCGAAATTAAAAACGCGAGTAGGAGTATCAGACCTGAGGCTTGAAGACGGTAGTTATGCAGATTTTGACCAGGACAAAGCTGAGGCATTGAACAGCTTCTTTTCCTCGGTGTTCACAAGAGAGGATGCGATTAACCTACATGCGTTTTAGGACAGACGGCTCGACACAGCACTGACCCACATTGTGTTCACAAAAGAGGGTATGAGAAATAAACTGTCAAAGCTAAAGGTCCTGACATGGTGCTTCCCAGAGTGCTAAGAGAGTTGTGCAATGAGCTTGCTGAGCCCCTGAAGATCCTGTTTTGTAAATGTCTGGATGAACAAAAGGTCCCCAGTGAAAAGTGGCTTATGTGAGTCCTATCTTCAAGAAGGGTGATTGTCACTCCACGAACAACTATAGACCGGTGAGCCTGACCAGCATAGTATGTAAAGTACTTGAGAGTCTTATCAGAGATGCCGCAATGGAACACCTACTACGAAACAACCTTTGATGTTTTGTAGTGTTTCAGAGAGCAGCGGGAGATGATTAAAGAGAGTTACTTGTGACGTACCTGTGTAGAGTGAGATGTCTGCCTAGGCAAGGTGTGTGGAGGGACAGAACGTTGGCTGCTGCCGCTGTCTTCCTCCAGTGCGGCGGTAGCGGTAATAGTGAAAGGACTACCGTTGACTGGCTGTCCATACAGAAGCACCTCTAGTGAATAGGTTCCTTCTGTATGCACTGTAAAGGCCACTTCATAAGTCCCATTGTTCAGATCCAGAACTTGGGGCTGGCAAAGTTCCTCCCGCGATCCAGAGGGACTTTTGCTGGAAGCACGCGGAGATAAAGAGGCACGTGGGGAGTTTGAGCCGTGGCGGGGCACCGTCGCACTGATTCTTGACATGGCAGCAGTGACCTCAGCACCACCACAAGTTGCCTTTTCTCCTTTGTGGTCTCTTGTTACTACTGTTACAATTGACCCACGACCTACAGTCACCTGCAATAAGAAGTTAGAAAAAAAAACTTCTGAATGTGTAAATATCAACTACTTTGTGATTATTTAGCTGGTAAACCAGCTACACTGATCAACACAAACTCTGACAACTGCACACCCAAAAATGCTCGTTGTAATTCTGCTGTACTACTGCTGGCCATCTTCCACTATACACTGGTAAATATTATTTCTTCAGTTGGTAATGTATTACAGTACTGTACCACAATATGTATGATTACAATTGCAATGTTGGATCCTTCATATGAGTCTGCTGGAGAGCCTCTGAGTAAAAGCACACTCTTAAAACTTACAAGACTCGGTTTTAGACACGACTTAACATTTTCATTCATACCTAAAATAAATAATCATCTCCTAACAAAAGTTTTTAGTGTGGGTGTCATACTTCAGAATGATTCCAAAATTTACATAACCTACCTGTAGATATAGTATTATTTTTGTTGTTTATCACAAGTTACTGTAGCACTATCTGTAAAGACATTAAACATGGAGGAAAATACAGTACCTGGCGCAAAGCCTCGCCTGTGGCACTAGTCTGGTGAGGTACGGCACTGTTGCTCTGGATGCTGCCCACGTGCATGAAGGCTGTCTTAAGAGGCTCTATGTTGCCAACCACAAACCTTGTGACAAAAATATTTAAAAATATATATCTTGTCCTTCATTCTCACATAAACTAACCTAACCTAATTTACCTAATCTAACCTAACCTCAGGAACATTATATGGGCATAATTTTGTTTTACAGCAAAGTACTATGTATGATGACCAACGAAGTGCCAGGATATGAGACTACAGCACAGTTAAGTCATGTTACTGGTCACTATGGCACACACTCCACAAATCTCTGTAAATGATGGTGATCCCAGAGCACAGACGAGCAGTAAATGATGGTGATCCCAGAGCACAAGAGCAGGAAATGATGGTGATCCCAGAGCACAAGAGCAGGAAATGATGGTGATCCCAGAGCACAAGAGCAGTAAATGATGGTGATCCCAGAGCACAAGAGCAGGAAATGATGGTGATCCCAGAGCACAAGAGCAGGAAATGATGGTGATCCCAGTGTACAAGAGCAGTAAATGATGGTGATCCCAGAGCACAAGAGCAGTAAATGATGGTGATCCCAGAGCACAAGAGCAGGAAATGATGGTGATCCCAGAGCACAAGAGCAGGAAATGATGGTGATCCCAGAGCACAAGAGCAGTAAATGATGGTGATCCCAGAGCACAAGAGCAGGAAATGATGGTGATCCCAGAGCACAAGAGCAGGAAATGATGGTGATCCCAGAGCACAAGAGCAGGAAATGATGGTGATCCCAGAGCACAAGAGCAGGAAATGATGGTGATCCCAGAGCACAAGAGCAGTAAATGATGGTGATCCCAGAGCACAAGAGCAGTAAATGATGGTGATCCCAGAGCACAAGAGCAGGAAATGATGGTGATCCCAGAGCACAAGAGCAGTAAATGATGGTGATCCCAGAGCACAAGAGCAGGAAATGATGGTGATCCCAGAGCACAAGAGCAGGAAATGATGGTGATCCCAGTGCACAATAGACCCTTTACTCAGGAAACAAATCAAAACAGCCACAAGAAACTGCCACTATCAACCCCCCCACAATAAGCACACCACTAGTGTTGTCTGATAAGTCACTGGGTAGTACAGGAGAGTTAGCGAGAAAATATTTGAGTAGAGTGCACCCTGATACCTGTGTTAGTAAGCAGTAATGAAAGATAATAAAAAATGTGATTCAGCAAACAAAAAGAAAGTGCAGAGGCCTATAACATATCACAAGGCCAGGGATGCCATGACAATGTAGCCAAATATTTCTTAAATATTTTATATATTAAAACAAACTTATAATAAAAAGAAAAGTAATCCCAGTAGAAAGAAGATTCTTGACTCTGGGAAAATACTTTATAATGAATTATTCTTAAACCCTTTGTTATAAGACACCACTTCTACTATTTTCTTTGGATAACACAAGACGATTTTATTTAACAGAGAAAAAGAGAAGGGGGCCCTGTACAGGCAGTACAGGACCTCTGTATGGATCCTGTACACAAGGAGTTATATACAGGCAGTACAGGACCTCTGTATGGATCCTGTACAGGCAGTACAGGACCTCTGTATGGATCCTGTACACAAGAAGTTAAATACAGGCAGTACAGGACCTCTGTATGGATCCTGTACACAAGAAGTTATATACAGGCAGTACAGGACCTCTGTATGAAATTTGAACAACATCCATTTTATGACTCCAAGAACCAAAAATTAAGGTATTAGTTCAGGCGAATTTTTCTTGCCAAAACGACATTTTTGGGGGAAAATAAAAACTAATGTATTTATATAGCAAATATAGTCTATATTTTTTAGAAAATGTATATAAATATGATTTAAAACTTACCAGCACAGCATAATTGACTTTTTAAATACTGTACTGAATTCTAAATATCTTTAATTATTTCAAAGGTCATTATTTAACAATAGTTACTCAAATTTTTAGATTGTGAACCCAGATCCACCACTGACACCAGCCATACTGGCACCAGCCACCACTGACACCAGCCAGCAAAATTAAATGCTAAGTGATAAATGTCAAGAACAGGTCAAGGTTAAAATATTACAGTGGTGATTACAAGAGAAGGAGGGAGGAAGAGAGAAGTGTTGGCTGGCCTAACTTACTGAGCAACAAGGATGTGTGTTGTTCCTGGTAAATCATGCAGGGTAACTTAAATACAGGGTGCAATATTAAGGCCCTGTACTGTATAGGGAACACAACTTGGCTTTATGTACAGTAGGTCGGGATATACTGTATAGCGACTTTATAGATAAAAAAATTATATCATGGCCACCAAAATTATTGACGGGGTTAGGGACCCAAATCCAGGTCGTAAGTCCCGACGGTCGTAAGTCGTAGCAGTCGTAAGTCAGGGTCTGTATATATATATATATATATATATATATATATATATATATATATATATATATATATATATATATATATATATATATATATATATATATATATATATATATATATATATATATATATATATATATATATATATATATATATATATATATATATATATATATATATATATATATTTTGTAGTGGACGCCTCTACAACTGCTCTGATTCAATGCAACAGTATCCACAACCAACCACCTGCCGCCTTCCTAGCAACGAGTCGAAAGCAATTCCCACGGATTTACTTCGCTGTGTGTATAGCTCTGTCTCTCCATTGAGATTCATTCTGGCCCGGTTCCTGAACCACCTCCTCCTCCGCTGCGTCTCCTCCGCCTGCCTGGCGGTCCGCCCTCCGGGCGAGCATGGAGACCACCAGCTGCCTTCTGAGCCCCTCACCAACCAGTCTCTCTTTTACTCACGTTCCTGAACACGCAACACCCTCCAAGAAGTCCTCGTCCCGCTTCATTCAACCAGGAGGCCAGCAACAGGCAACATCTTCTAACGGTCTGCACATCTCCTTCAACACGCTTCACCGAACGTCTCTACTGAGCAGCTCACCACACAGCACCTCCAGCACCAGACTGTCTTTCATATAACTTATTTATATAAGAACCACTTAGAGTTTCATCCATCCTATAGACAACATTATACACTAAACCCTACAATATATATATATATATATATATATATATATATATATATATACTGTATATATATATATACAGTATATTTATTTTTATTTTTTTATTTATTTTTTTTCATTTCACGAGGGAAATCTGGCAGGAAATATTTCAAATGTACCGCCATGGCAAACAAATGCGTTATTTGCTCACCAGAGTGCCACAGTGGTTGCTCACTCATGCATTCACGCTCGCCCGCTCAGTCTTTCTGAGTGAGTGATGAGTAAGCAGCCGACTGCTGTAGATTCTGACTTCTAAGGTGAATATAAATGGGTTGCTTGTGACAAGAAAAGTGAAGTGAAGAGAATGGAAAGCTTAATGGAAGAGATCTAATACTGTAACTAATATTTTTGGTGTTTGTTTATGTAGGTGTGGGATTGTCAAGTGAGGGTGGCAGTGTGGCGTCAGCTGCCGAGTCTAGTGTTCCCAGGATGGTGTTCCTTGATATTGAAACGGCCTGTTGTTCCCGAGTCTAGTGTTCATTGGTGCTTTAGTTGGTCAAAAAATAAACTCATTAAGTCAAGTTAGTCACTTTTTGGGGCCTCCAGAACCTAACCCTATTTTCCCCATTGACTACAAGTAATCATATATCGCGATTTACTGTAGTATATAAAGAACATCGTTGGACCCTATCTCGCGATATATCCCGACCCTACTGTACCATACTACAGCACTGTACTGTACTGTATATAACATTCTTTTACTGAATAATACTTTAATAATTACATAAATAGCAATTTGGAACTGTAATATATTGTGAATTTTTTAAAACACACAAGACCACTGTACTGTACTTACTTAACGTGGCTGTTCTCACGAGGGGCTGGAGGCACGTTCATGTTGGCATAATCCATCAGCCTCTCACCCAGTTGCTTCCTCACCAGAACCACCTCCATGGCAGGGCAGTGGGTCAAGGCCTTCTCTACAAACTCACAACCACTCTCTACACCTCTCACCCATGACTCCAGCTCCTCAAGTTGATTACCTACAATATACAAGATGGTCAATGGTTGCTTCTGGCCACATAGGGATACAATTTTCTTCAAATATAAACCTAAAACTTAACAAATTGGTTCTAAAACTGAATCGTTCACACACAAGAATACTGAAACTGAAAAAAAAAAGTAAAAATTCCCCCCCCCCAGAAAAACTGTATGACAAATATTACCGACAGCAAAACTTTAGGAGCTACACCCTGAACACACACAGACATGTCCTTTTAGCATTCAAGCTTTATGATAAAAAATTACTTGGAAAAATAAATAAATAAAACAAACATCACAAACCTTCATAAAAATCAACCAGCTTTATTACCTAATGTCTTTTGCTTCTCCGATTCAATAGAGTTGAGGGAGTTGATGAGGACTGTTTGTCTCTTGTCCAACAGGTCGTGCAGAGCGTCAAAACAGCTCCGTACTTCCTTCTCTGCCTCCACCCTCCTCCCCTGTAGGCTGTGGCACACGTCTTGGATATCACATATGGCTTCCTTCATACATGGCAGCTGCAATAGTGGTTCAAATTACTGTACCTTACTGGGTGGTGTGGGGGCTATAGTGACATTATAACATCAGTCAGAGATAATGTACTAGAGAGTAAAAGAAGATGGTTTTTAACACCTTCGCTCCAAGGATGCCACTTTTAATATATTATTTGGCTAACATCAGATGATCGTATTCAGCACAGAAGGGACACCGTACACAGGGGGGGTTAAAGCTCGTCATCCCCACTACAGCACTAGTATATTGTATCATATCGAGTGAAGGCTTGGAACACCATGTACAGTATCTCAAAAAAGTAGCTGCCAGGATGAGTCCGATCACTTCCGAAATGGTACATGCAAATCGTGATGTCCCGGGAGGGTTGGTATGTGTGGCTCTGTGTCCTGGGAGGGTTGGTAGGTGTGGCTCTGTGTCCCGTGAGGGTTGGTAGGTGTGGCTCTGTGTCCCGGGAGGGTTGGTAGGTGTGGCTCTGTGTCCCGGGAGGGTTGGTAGGTGTGCCTCCATGTCCCGGGAGGGTTGGTAGGTGTGGCTCTGTGTCCTGGTGTACTGCGCACATCATTGTCATCCTTAATATCTTTTTAATTCATATTACGCTACATAACATTCAAATCCACCGCGCTTGTAGAGTCACAGAAAACGGTAGGAAATGGGAAACTTTGGTAAGGGATAACTTACCTATTGTATGTTGTTTTATACGAATTGTACCAAGGTACGGTCATAAAATATTAAGTGTATGTACTGTACTTATAATATAAAGGAGAAAGCAAAGTTTCTATACGATGATTGGGAAGGTCCAATTGATACGGACTAGTGTACTATAAGGGATAAGTGTAGAGTGTGTCTGAAGGTCAACTATTTATGTCTGTGAACGATTAATGAACATAGCTACCGCAGATATCAGATGAAAATATACGAGAACAATGATTTGGAAAAAGGATAATGTATCAGGCATATGTGAAGTGTTGTAAGTGATCCAGAAACTATACTTCAAAGAAAATATCTTGTATACCAACACCAAGGAAAAAAACGACGCTAGGCCTTTGTTCAGGTTGGCACCTAGGCCGCTTCGGGCTACGGTGCCGAGTGTTGTTATAACCCAATGAATTTTCCCAGGAACTAGCAAACCAGACCCTTACTTTAGTATGTAATATAGGATTAAGATATATAATTATAGAGCATAAGGTCACAATAGATAGGAAAGTGCATATGTGAGAACCAGAATAATATCAAGTCACCAAAACAGGTCAGTGAACTCCATCGTGCTCCATTCAGCCCTAAAAAGACTTATCTAGCAGTTTTTTACATCTTAAAACCTTGCCTGATGTTATAAAGTGAAGTAATAGTTGCAATAATGCGTGGTGATAAAAGCCCATCAGGCATTACTCTCAGTGACCCCCAGCTTCTCACCAAAACAGGTACGTGCCCAGAGCGTCGGCCGAGCAACCACCACTGTGAGGAACCCACCGGGTGTGGCGTGTTCTGCTTAGGGCCATTATGCCACCTCCACTGTGGATACCCTACATATCACCACCCAGGATAGGAGAACATAATTGTGTGTAGGAGAAGTTTCGCGGTCGCTACGTGTACCTGAAGAATACCGAGGAATTCCATACTTGTAGGTGTGGAGTGTACCTCAGATGTGTTGCTATAATATAACATGTGGTGCTATACTCTAACATGTGGTGCAGTCTGATGTATTGGGTGTTATGGTAAGAAGGAATAACCGAGGTAAGGATGACATTGGTTGTTATGAAGAATGAAAATGATAATAGTAGTTAATTGATGAAGGACGTATATTGGTGTGAAGTGTAATGAACATAATAGTGGTTCTTCTGACAAGGGCCAACTCTTTTTGTATTGTGATGGGATACAATATGTTTTTATAAGGAATAAATTAATTAAGTCATGATTGATGTTTCACCCTTCTTCCCACTCTCGATTTGGTCAATGAAAAACCTAACCCAATGCCTAGCTTACACTGCCTGCTACCTAACGAGCTGCATACTGTCCAGGGGGGTCTGGTGGCAGCGACCTTAAAATTAAGAGTAGATTTAAGTTATCCCATTAGGATTAGTGACCCCAGAAAGGCAGTATACCGGGAGGGTTAGTATGTGTGGCTCTGTGTCCCGGGAGGGTTGGTATGTGTGGCTCTGTGTCCCGGGAGGGTTGGTATGTGTGGCTCTGTGTCCCGGGAGAGTTGGTATGTGTAGCTCTGTGTTCCGGGATGGTTGGTATGTGTGGCTCTGTGTTCCGGGAGGGTTGGTATGTGTGGCTCTGGTTCGAGGTGGTGGGTGTAGCTCTGTGTCCGGGAGGGTTAGGTGTGGCTCTGTGTCCCGGGAGGGTTGGTATGTGTGGCTCTGTGTCCCGGGAGGGTTGGTATGTGGCTCTGTGTCCCGGAGTGGTATGTGTGCCTGTGTCCCGGGAGGGTTGGTATGTGTGGCCTGTGTCCCGGGAGGGTTGGTATGTGTGGCCTGTCCCGGGAGGTGTGGTGTGGCTCTGTGTCCCGGGAGGGTGGTGGCCTGTGTCCGGGAGGTGGTATGTGTGGTTCTGTGTCCCGGAAGGTTGTATGTGGGTCTGTGTCCCGAGGGTTGGTATGTGTGGCTCTGTGTCCCGGGAGGGTTGGTATGTGTGGCTCTGTGTCCGGAGGGTTGGTATGTGTGGTTCTGTGTCCCGAAGGTTAGTATGTGTGGCTCTGTGTCCCGGGAGGGTGGGTGTGGCCTGTGTCCCGGGAGGGTTGGTATGTGTGTGGCTCTGTGTCCCGGGAGAGTTGGTATGTGGCCTCTGTGTTCCGGGAGGTTGGTATGTGTGGCTCTGTGTTCCGGGATGGTTGGTAGTGTGGTTCTGTGTCCCGGGAGGGTTGGTGGTTCTGTGTCCGGAAGGTTGTATGTGTGGCTCTGTGTCCCGGGAGGGTTGTATGTGTGGCCTGTGTTCCGGGAGGGTTGGTATGTGTGGCTCTGTGTTCCGGGATGGTTGGTATGTGTGGTTCTGTGTCCCGGGAGGGTTGGTATGTGTGGTTCTGTGTCCCGGAAGGTTAGTATGTGTGTGCCTGTGTCCCGGAGGGGTGGTGTGGCTCTGTGTCCCGGGAGGGTTGGTATGTGTGGCTCTGTGTCCGGAGAGTTGGTATGTGGCTCTGTGTCAGGAGGGTTGGTATGTGTGGCTCTGTGTTCGGATGGTTGTGTGTGGCTCTGTCCCGGAGGTTGGTATGTGGCTCTGGGGTTGGTATGTGTGGTTGTGTCCGGAAGGTTAGTATGTGGCTCTGTGTCCGGAGGTTGGTTGTGTGGCTCTGTGTCCCGGGAGGGTTGGTATGTGTGGCTCTGTGTCCCGGGAGGGTTGGTATGTGTGGCTCTGTGTCCCGGGAGGGTTAGTATGTGTGGCTCTGTGTCCCGGGAGGGTTGGTATGTGTGGCTCTGTGTCCCGGGAGGGTTCGTATGTGTGGCTCTGTGGCAGACTGTTCCTACTACATCTGGTAACCAAACATCATATTAATTACGCCCAAATAAATACACATTACATTACTTATGTTGAACTATATTCCAAAGTAAATGTATGGCCCAATATCTATCACCAGTGGTCTCATAATGTTTCACACAGTGTGGACAGATACTTTTTGAGTTATTGTACAATAAAAAATAATATCTGTAATTATTAAACTAGACATCTGGGTGATTTAACACTTACAGACATACAGGTTTCTTAGACCTAGAGAGAACTGTATTATACTGTACTGTACTGTACTGAACTATACTGTAGTGTACTGTACTGTACTGTGCTGTACTGTACTGTGCTGTACTGCACTGTACTGTACTGTGCTGTGCTACACTGTACTGTACTGTGCTGTACTGCACTGTACTGTACTGTACTGTACTGTACTGTGTATCACATATAAAACACATCATAGACAATAGTCTTCATAGAGTCAAGATACAGGGAGATTCACTGCACTAGAAAAGGTTCATAGGTAAAAAATTTAAACAAATAAGAAATTTATCAATGAGAGAGAGAGAGAGAGAGAGAGAGAGACACTAACCTGCATGGTGACTCTATCAATGAGCTGATGCATGGCTGACCGGTGTTCGTCTACAGCATCTGTGAGGTGTAGTGTGGTGTGTGCTCGGTGTTCTATGTCAGTACAGCTGCTACACACGGCCGTCTCACAGTCACGGCAGTAGAAACGTAGAGTCTGACCTGAGTATTAACAACAGTATATTACACGGTGTAGGAGGTAGAGTGTGTACACCTAGAGGTAGAATGTGTACACCTAGAGGTAGAATGTGTACACTTAGGTAGACTGTGTACGGTGGGAGGTAGAATGTGTACACTTAGGAGGTAGAATGTGCACGGTGGGAGGAAGAATGTGTACGGTGGGAGGAAGAATGTGTATGGTGGGAGGAAGAATGTGTATACTGAGAGGAAGAATGTGTAAGGTGGGAGGGAGAATGTGTACACTGGGAGAAAGAATGTGTATGGTGAATGTATGGCAAGAAGACTCGTCATTAACTACATAACGATCAGTAGCTACTTGTTATGGTGCTGGGATAGGGTGGGGTGTGGGGGTAAAGTGCTACACAACCATTCACTCATCACAACTCTCACGACCAACAAATCTTGTCTGATACTACATGATTGACATGGTTTAATTGATTAGCAAGTCAAGTCAAGTCAAGTCAAGTCAAGTCAAGTCTCAGTCAAGTCTCTCTCTCTCTCTCTCTCTCATTGCTGAACTATTGTGAAATTCTATCAACGAATGTCTGAAGTATAGAACAAACTCCCTTTCTAACCCGCTACAGTGAGTAATAACCTACCATTAAACTGACAGATTCAACTAAAATTCAATCCTAAAACAAAGAATTTCTGTAATGTCAACTCAGACATCACTAACACTTATCCCTGAATGACGCTACACTCCAGCACAGTTTTACCTCGAGAACAAAACTGATATAATGTATGCGTTTATCATTTGGTTATTTTGTTTCATTAAGGTGGCAGTGGTGAGTTAGAGCGAGGTAGGTGAGCAGTGAGTGAAGTTAGGAGCATGGTAGGTTAGAGCAGTGAGGTGAGTTAAGAGCAGTGGTGAAGTCAGTGATGGTGAATCAGTGACTGATGGTGAGTCAGTGCAGTAGGTAGGTCAGTGATGATGAGTTAGACAAGGGTAGGTTAGAGCAGTGCAGGTAAGTTGAAGCGATAGGTCGGTTAGAGCAGTAGGTAGGTTAGAGCAGTAGGTAGGTAAGTTGAGTGGGGTTAGAGCAGTGCGATGGGGTTACAGCAAGTAGGTAGGTTAGAGCAGTGGGTGAGTTGGGAGCAGTGGTAGGTTAGAGCATGTTGCAGTAGGTAGTTAGAGCAGTAGGTGGGTTAGGCAGTGGAGGTGGGTTAGAGCATTAGGTAAGTTCAGATTGGCAGGTGAGTGCTGTGAGCAGTGGTGGGCGGTTAGAATAGGTAAGTTGGGGCAGTGGGTAGGTTAAGTGGTGAGTTAGGCAAGGTGGGTTGGTGCAGTAGGTGGGTTAAGAGTAGTAGGTGAGTTGGGGAGCAGTGGGTAGGTCAGTGCTAGGTTTAGAGGTGGAGTTCAAGGCAGTGGGTCCAGTGGGTAGGTCAGTGCAGTGGGTAGGTCGGTGCAGTGCAGTGAGTCAGTGCAGTGGTGGAGTCAGGCAGTGGGTGAGGTCAGTGCAGGTAGGTCAGTGCAGTAGGTAGGTCAGTGCAGTAGGTAGGTCAGGCAGTGGGTAGGTCAGGCAGTAGGTAGGTCAGAGCAGTAGGTGCAGTTGAGCCAGTGGTGGATCGGTAGTAGGTTGAGTTAGAGCAGTAGGTGAGTCAGGCAGTGGTGGTCAGTGCAGTAGGTGGTCAATTAGTGGGTAGGTCCAGGTAGGTAGGTATGTCAGTGGGTGGAGGTCAGGAAGGTGCAGTAGGTAGGTCAGTCAGGAGGGGTCAGAGCAGGTGGATTAGTGCAGTAGGTAGGTCAGTGCAGTGTAGGATCAGAGCAGTAGGTAGGTCAGGCAGTAGGTAGGTCAGTGCAGTGGGTAGGTCAGTGCAGTAGGTAGGTTAGAACAGTAGGTAGTTGGTGCAGTAAATGGGTCACATGAGTGGGTAGGTCACGGGAGTAGGTGGGTCACAGGAGCAGGTAGGTCACAGGCGTAGAGTAGGTCACAGGCGTAGGTAGGTCACAGAATGGAGTGGGTCACAGGGAGTAGGTAGGTCCAGGGGTAGGTAGGTCACAGGAGCAGGTAGGTCACGAGGGTAGTGGGTCACAGGGTAGGTGGGTCACAGGAGTAGGTAGGTCACAGGATTAAGTGGGTCAGGGAGTAGGTAGCTCACAGGCGTGGGTAGGTCACAGGATGCAGTGAGCCACAGGAGTAGGTGGGTCCAGGAGTAGGTAGGTCACAGGAGTGGGTGGGTCTACAGGGTAGGTGGGTCACAGGAGTGGGTGGCTCACAGGCGTGGGTGGGTCACAGGATTAGTAGCCACAGGAGTAGGTGGGTCACAAGTGTATGGGTCACAGGGAGTAGGTAGGTCAGCAGGAGTAGGTAGGTCTAGAGTGGTGGGTCTACAGGAGTAGGTAGGTCACAGGGAGTGGGTGGCTCACAGGCGTAGGTAGGTCACAGGATTAAGTAGGCCACAGGAGCAGGTGGGTCACAAGGTGGAGTCTGGGAGTAGTGGGTCACAGGGTAGGTGGGTCAGGAGTAGGTAGCTCACAGGCGTAGGTAGGTCACAGGATTAAGTAGGCCACAGGAGCAGGTAGGTCACAGGAGTAGGTAGGTCACAGGAGTAGGTAGGTGTGATCACAGGTTAGGTGTTAATCATCAGGTGAAATATCGGAGGTCAAATCTTCAAGTGATCCTACAAGGTGAGACGAGACGGCAACTCACCCTGGTGTGACGGACAGTACAGTGTGGTGTCGTCGTCTGTGTAGCCATTACTCTCTGCCAAGGCTCCTCCTTCACCCTCTGCCAGGCTCACTACGCTGTGTGTCTCACTGCCGGAGTCCTGCCACACACAACACAAGCTATGGTTAATATTAGAGATACACACACTCACTATAAATCAACAACCTGGTGAAATAATTATGAAAAATACTTGAAAATCAACATAATTATGACACCTGATGTTCAGTATTATGCTCTGTTGACATCTAAGCTTGTGTAGCCAATGTCTGAACTAAAATCTAATAAGTGCTTTAAAAAATGACAAAATCAGTTATCAATGAAGAATAAGAACCAGCAGTAAGTTAGTGAAGAAAACAGCTTATAACTTCAGTCAATAATCAATGAACAGGCGCCATTCCGACTAACATTCAGACACACAACACACTTACGACACGCACTCAAAATGAACGTCACACAACACACACTTACGACACGCACTCAAAATGAACGTCACACAACACACACTTACGACACGCAAATGGACGTCACACAACACACACTTACGACACGCCTCAAATAGACGTCACCTCTTACTGCCTCAAAATAGACGTCACAATACACACACTCA